CCAAAGGATGTTTCGCGGGCACCCTGCGTTCGAGGGGCATGCCGAACTCTCGCCTGGTGCCCGCCCGTGGGTACTCGCGGGCGCTCCGCGCTGGAAATGCATTCAGATGTTTCGCCTGGCGCGCGCCCGTGGAGTTTTTTGTGGGGCTGCACGGGTATGCTAAAATTTCGCCTGGTGCCCGCCTACGGGAGATTCGTGGGCGCTTCGCGCTGGGGGGCCTGCCGAAATTTCGCCGCGGGCGTCTTGTGGGCGCGCAGGTAGCGCGCGCCACGCAGATAGCAACGCACACGTTGCACAAAATAGCCTGCGCCACAAACTTTTCGCCACACAACTTACACCACGTGGATTGCACCAACTCGCTTGCAACAGTGGCATTGCAACACAAAGCTTGCATCACATAGCGCGCTCCACGCAGCTTGCACCGCATAGCTGGCACCACCTAGTTTGCGCCACATTGCCTGCACCACACAGCGTGAACACATAGCGCGCACGAAGCTTACACTACACTGCAGCGCGCTTAGTGCACTATGTAACTGGGCCACATCGTTTCCACCAGCGTTTCGTTGCGTCGCATAGCTGGCACCACGTTGTTAACGCCACATTGGTTGCGCCACGTGGCTTGCGCCGCATAGGTTGCACCACATAACATACACCGCATAGCTTGCACAGTTGCTGTTTCCGCCCTACCACGCGCCCAGCGTCGGATACCCCTCGATGGACGATTCCAGCAACGATGGCCACGCAACATCTCTGTGGATGCTCTCGCCGCTAGCGATGCTATCCAACGTGTGCGCGCCCGACGCGTAGCGCACTTCATTGGGAATGCAGAGGGACTCGATTGGACCGGACACGCGAAAAGACACAAAACCCTTCCGAGGGCAACATTGCCATAGGAATGTAACCGTGTGTCGCGAGACGCACGACACAAGGGTGCCATTGATTTGGCAGGGTCGACCGACTTATCTGGGCCGGCTGTAATCCCCCTTGCTGCGCGCCTCCTCGGCCGCCATGCGCCCATTCAAGCGTTCCATCAAATCCAAGGGTTCGGCATCGGCGCCCTCCGATTATTCTTCGATCATCTGGAGCCTCTCCCGCGGGGTGGGGCCAGTCTGCCCCTGCCCCCACTTGTGGCCCCCCAAGCGCGCCTCCACCCCGACGCACTTCTCGTTCCAAGCTTCGGCCGCCATGCGCTCCATCAGGCGCTCCTTCAGCTCCAGGAGCTCGGCCTCCTGGCGTTCGCCGTCTTGGAAAAGCGCGCCGCCTTTTTTCCAGGAGTTCGTCGATTATGTGGTTCCTCCCCTGCAAGGCGGGGCCAATCTTCTTCTGTTCCCACTTGATATCCTTCTTGCGCTCCTTCTGGAACTTCTGCTTGTCCACGTTTCCCTTCTTCGCCGCCCTGGGTTCGGGCACCACTGACGCACGCCCACGGCGAACAAAACAATCCAAACAGGCTGGCTGAAACGTGCCGACGGCGCGAACAACTGCACGCGCTCAAGGATGCCCAGAGAACGAGAGAGAGAGAGAGAGAGAGACTGAGAGAGAGACAGAGAGAGAAACAAGAGAGAGAGAAAGGGAGGGAGGGAGGGAGGGAGAGAGAGAGAGAGAGAGAGAGAGATAGAGACATAGAGGATACATAATAAAAGCCCCCCCAGGCTCCTGCAGAAACGCCGCGCCCGCCAGGGTGAAAACAATGTCCGCGTCCGCCTTGGCGGCCGGCCCCCTTGTCCTCCACGACCACGTCCGGGGGCTAGCGCGGAATCAGAGTTCCCTGCTGCCCCTCTGACCCCACGTGCTCCTCGGACCGCTCATGGCCTGCCGCCGCCGCACGCCTTCGGCTTCTGTCCAGGCCAGGCCGAGCGAGCCGCAAGCTCCTGCGCCTGCTCCCATCGCGCCGCCTGGCGCCGCCGCGTCGCGACCCGAGCATCACGGCGCACCGCGCGCACCGCAAGCCGCCGCAGCGCCCTTTGCAGGCGCCGTGCATGTGGGCCTGCTCCCGTCACTGCCGCCGTCTCCATCCTGGTCGTCGCTCTCGGGCTCGCCGCTGCCCAAGGCCTTGAACCCGCGAGCCCAGCTGCGCCTCGGGGCCAGGGAGGCCGTCCAGGAGCCTGCCACAGCTCTTCCTCTTTGCTGCCCCGGCCATGACCCGCGCGAGCTCGCCGCCAGTCGCCACGTCGTCCACGCGGGCTCACTCTAGCTCCTGCGCCAACCGCTCCCGCGGCGGCTGGCGGACAGGCCCCTGCGGCGCCCCCGCCCACGCGGCCGCATCGGCCGCAGGCGGATGCCCCGTGCTTCGGGGGGGCGAACAGCTCTCGCCCCCCATGGATCCCCGCGCCCCCGACGGGGCCGCCATCGGACGCCCCGGGCACGGCGAGCAGCGGCGGCGTCCGCCAGTGCGCGAGGCGCGCGGCTCCACAGCTGCGCCGCGCCCCGCCGCCAGGCAGCGCCGAATCGCCAGCGAGGAAGGCCATGGAGGCGATGGGAGGAAGAGGACGAGGAGGACGATATATAGAATATAGATGAGGAGGAGGAGAAGGAGAAGGAGAAGGAAAAGGAGGAGGAGGAGGAAGAGGAGGACGAGGAGGACGAGGAGGAGGAGGAGGATGGATGGATGGATGGAAGGATGGATGGATGGATGGATGGATGGATGGGGCGTCATCAACGAGGCCCTGGCGGCTGTCAGCGCGCCTACACCGGCCACTGCCCTAGATGTCAAGAAGAGCCCCTCGCCGCCGCGCGCGCGACCGCAGGCGCCGCTGCGACGAGGTAAGGGCCCCGAAGAAGCCCAGACAGGCATCTGTCGCGACACTGTCCTGCCCCGCGGACAGGCCAGGAAAAACGGGTGCCACCCCCGCGGGGGCGGGCGGGCGACCAGCTGGCCCACCAGAACCCCCGGGGGGCCGGGGGGGGGGGCGCGGGAACGCGCGGCAGCGCGAGCCCTAGCCGCCAAAAATTCGAGGCGGGCCCAGCAGACAGAGCGAGGGCCCTCACCTCAGCGCGCGGAACGTCCACTCGCCGACCACGCCGTGAAAATCGTGGAAGCGCTCGGAGGCCATGAAGCTGGCCGCCAATTCGAGCTCGACGCCGTCGCGCTCCAGCGTGGTGACCACGTCGCCCATGTACACGCCCCCCTCGCTCCCCTTGTCCATGAACATCTGGGCCAGGAAAACCTCGCAGTCGAACTCCGCCTTCTCCTGCAGCACGGCTACCTTGGGGTCGCTAGTGGTCTCCATGTGGAACCCAGCGCTCACCAGGGCCAGTTCGTCTCCGACGCTGATGGCCGAGACCGTCTCCTCCACCTCGTCGGTGGCCTTGCAGCGAGGGTCGCCTTTGAAGTCCTTCTTCGTGGGAGCCCCCATCTGTTCGGAGCCGTTCGTGGTCTTCCCTTTTTTTAGGTGACCCGAAAGGGGGTCCAGCTGAAAAGGGGGTGGTGCAGTGGATTTGGGCCAAATGTGTTGCAAATGTACTGCGCCAGAGAATTGTCCTGAATTGTACTGCGCGCCCCAAATGGACTGCAACCACACAAATCTATTGTGCCAGATCTTTTGCACCACCCCCTTGTCGCTGGACCCCATTTTTGGTCGACCTGATTTGTGGAGACGAGAATTATTCAGGACCAGCACGTCACTTTCAAGCATGTCCGGCACCAAATCCTCTACCACCTGGTTGGCCTTGCATTCTGGGTAGAGTTTGATGTCCGCCTTGATAATTTTTCCCTCCTGCAGCGCCACTGGCTTCAACGAGAAAGCCTTGTCGGCCAGCTCGCGCTCCAAGAACTTACCCACGGACGCCTCCTTCGAGCAGTCGTCGGCTTTTTCCGACTGCTCGGCCGCCGTGTCCATGAGCTCGGTCTTCTCCGACAAATCCGCCTCCACGGTCGACTGGGACTCGCAACCGCTCGCGGAGCCGTTCTTCACCGTCTTCGCCACGTCGCGCACGAAGATACGCGCGCCCGGGTGCGCGCTCCACTTGCGCGCCTTGCTGGGATGCCCGATCCTCCGGGCCAGGGCGACGCCCTCCGGCAGGGCTGGCCATAAACATTGTTATTCGTTTTGTTTTCGTGCTGTTTTTCGTTTTGCTCAACCTGCTGTCCTGTACCTCCCTCCCAAAACGAAAAACAAAAAACACGCCCGAAGTACGGCAAAACAACGTTTGGGTCCAGCCCTGCCCTCCGGCCCCTGCTCCTGCCGCTTCTCCCTGGCGTTGCGGACCGTGCGGGCGCCGCCCAGCCCCTCCCGGACCAGGCCGACGGCCTCCTGGTACCTCCCTCGAGGGCCGAGGCGCCCGCACCGGCGTCCTGCGCAGGGATGCCACGGGCCGCGCCGCGCGCCACCGCCGCCAGCAGCGTCGCCAGCCCCGAGATCCATCACTGCCACAGCCGCTCCGCACGCCGCCTGGGCCGCAGTCGAGGCAGCGAGCACATCGGCCGGCGCCATGCCGACTGAGTCCCGCCCAGGGCGCGCCGGCGCCTGTCAGTGGCTTGAGCCAAAATGGCTACGGCAGGAGGAGGAGGAGGAGGAGCAAGAGGAGGCGGCCGAGGCACCGTTGGACCGACTGATGCTGCACCGCGCGCCAACGCCAACGGCGTGCCCGTTCCCACCCCAACCCGGCCACGCGCCGCGCGAGGGGCGGCCCCAGTGAGCCAGGCAGGCTTGAGCCCAAACGGCTACGGCACATAGCTTTCACCACATAGCTTGCACCAGAGTTTGCACCACACAGCTTGCACCATTCAGCTTGCACAACATAGCTTACACCACATAGGCTTCACCACGTAGATTGCACGATATGGATTGTGCGACATAGCTTAAACCACACAGCTCACACATCCACGGTGCAATAGCTTACTGTTCGGGGTCAACGCTGGAAAACAACTCTTCTTCGATTCCATCCCCTCCTCTTCCTCCATCTCCTCCGCGATGCCGGCCTGTGCCGGCGGGCTTACCGACAGGCGCGCCGGCGGCAGCTGCCACGCCGGCGCCAACGAGTCTCTGGAGGGCTCTCGCCTGAACCGCGGCGCCGACACTTGCTGCCTCTCCTGCTCCTCTCCTCTGCTCTCCTGCTGCTGCCCCTCCTGTCCCTCCCTTGAGGGATGAAAAAACGGCCCTACCCTGGGTTACAAGTGCGTGGTCTGTAAACCTCCTGGGAGCCCCCAGAGCCTAGCGCCGCCAGGACGCGGCACATCACGCAGGTTTTACCCTGTCAGCCCACAGGAGTTTCAGCGCACAGCTCCTCGTAAACCAGGGTAGGGGCGTTTTTTATGCCCTTGACTCCCTGCCTTTTCCCCCGATGAATCCGCGGCCCTGGTACCACACCCATCGTAGCTCTGGTGTGCACGGGGGCCAGGCGCATCGGCTGGAGGTCCGCCCCTCACGATAGGGGCGTGCCCATTGGGAGGAGGAGGAGGAGGAGGAGGAGGAGAAGAAGGAGGAAGAGGAGGACCAGTTTAAACCCAGAACTCAACAAAAATGAAATACACTATCCCCCCAAACTCCCTCTTCATAGGCCGCTACGAAGATTCATTTCCACTGAAGGGAAAACCCCGTTGGGGAACAACCGACTGAAAACCCTGACGCGTGCCAAACCACCGTTTTCAGGACTTCCACGCCACGAATGAATCTGACTTTCGCGTATCGACGATCCCGAATCGTGTCATAACACCGTTCCTCTGACTTCAACATCGCGAATCAACGTGACTGTTGCGCCCTGACAGTCCTGAATCGCTCCAGAACGCCATTTCTGGTACGTTAGCCATGAGAATCAATGAATTTCGTGTAGAATTCAAAAAAAATGTTCACGGGGCTGGGGCGAAAACCAAATTTTGAAAATGAGCCACCCTCATACCGTGAAGCTCGTACAACTTGTTGACATAATGTGCGCGGCGCTAAAGCGAGAACCAATTTTTGAGAACGAACCGCCCGGAATCCGTGAAACTCAAGCGAAGTTCGAAAATGTGCGCGGCGCTAGAGCGAGAGCCACATTTTGAAAACGTCCCCTGCTTTCAATCCGTCAAACTCTTGCACATGTTTAAGACGAATGTGCGCTGCGATAATGCGAGAACCACATTTTGAACACCACCTGCCCTCAATCCCTGGTCCTGCAAATCTTTGAATCGAATGTGGGCGGCGGCAAAGCGAGAGCCTACAAAAGATACCTGCCCTCCGTTCGTGAAGCTGCTGCAGATTTTCAGGTTCAGGATTATCGGCGGTGAGGAGGAAGTCTCAAACGCAACGCCCGGCCCGCCCTTTCGAACGGCCTCGGGGTGCGACTGGGAAGAGTTACTCACGAGGAAAGGGGATGAAGGAACTGCTGGAGCAGGAGCTTCTGGAGGCGGAAGACGGCGTCCGACAGCTGGGGCGGGGCCGCCGAAGGCGGGAGGACGCAAGACTAGGATAAGCCGAGGGGGGAGGATGAGGAGGAGGAGGAGGAGGAGGAGGAGGAGGAGGAGGAGTTATGAGAGGATGCTGGGCTTGTGACTGGATGTGCAGGGTAAGGAGGTTGAGGCTTCTTTCTTTTGGTCGGGAGGAGGGGAGTGAGGACTTTACGTGCGGGGTTCCAGCGAGGCAGGCAGGACGCGTGTCTAAGTTATGTGGGCAAGCTAGGTGCGCTGCGCACGTCATATCTAATTCCTACCCTCCCTCCATCCCTACCATAGTCGTGATTTTCCTTATCAGCTGACTAGTGGGTGGTGGTGCGCGTGACGTGCGGGACGCTGCGTTTTCGTGCGTGGTTTGCTGGGTCTGGTGGTGGTGGTGGTGGTGGTGGTGGTGGTGGTGCTGGTGGTGGTGTTGGTGGTGCAGCTGCTGTGGTGTGTGGTGCTGGTGGGTGGTGTGTGGGTGGGGTGGTGGTGGTGGCGGTGGTGGTGTGTGTGTGTGTGTGTGGTGTGCGCGTGTGCGGTGGCATGGCACGGAACTGAGCAGCGCTGCAGCGGGAGCACGAGTCGAACGGCGGAAGCGCGCACATGAGGCCGCGCTGTCAGGGGCGCACGATCGGCCGCGTGCCTCCCTGCCTGCGGGCGCTGCCGGGGGCACGATTCGGAACGCGCGGGCCTCCCCCGAAATGAGGCCCTGCTCCTCGGCGACTAGCAGCTTTGAAAAAAAAACACCCAGCGAAAACCCGTTCCCAGGGATCCTGTGTAAAAAACATACGCGGCGGCGGTGCTCGGATATCTCGGGATACGCCATCAGGGCAAGTGGGAGAGTATTTCATATGGTGTAATTGTGAGGAGGAGGAGGATGGAGGAGGAGGAGGAGAGGGGCGGAGGAGGAGAGGAGGAGGAGGAGGGATGCGGAGGAGGGGCATTGTCGTCCCCTGACGCCAGGGCCTCCTCGCTCCTCCCGCTGCTCATCTCAGTCCTGTCCTCACAAGCGCTACTCCCCCTGCATCCGCCCCTCCTCTCATCCGTCCTCTTCTTTCATCCCTCCTCCTCCTAAGCGTGTCTGTGTCAGCTGTCAGGGCGGGCCAGGCGCTCTGCCTGAGGCCTCCTGACGCCTCATAGCCCTGAGACTTGAGACCTGGACAAAAACCTCAGACATTGAGGGTGTCGGGCACACTTTCGCAACGGGGATTTCACTGGACATCGCGCTGAATTGCATGCTCGAACCTGTGCTTCATCCTGCGTACTCGCCGAAGGATACGAGGTACGTAGCTCGTTTCCAAAACGGGGTGCTCGAGCGAATGACGGGCTCGCAGGGAGCTGGTGTTTCCAGGGGGCGCTTATTGAAGTAGGGGGGACACCTGACACCTTGTAGATATTCATTAGGACGGGGCATTGGACGGGAAGGTGTATTGCAGCATCGTTGGCCCTACTCCTCCTCCTCCTCCTCCTCCTCCTCCTCCTCCTCCTCCTCCTCCTCCCCCTCCTCCTCCTCCTCCTCCTCCTCCTCCTCCTCCTCCTCATCGCTCCTCGTCGCCATTGGCGCATCGTCCTCCTCGCATCTGCTATTTGCTTGTTCCCCTTTCTCCTCCTCCTCCTCCTCCTCCACGAATGTCCCCCTCCCTCCCATTCGCCGTCGCGTTCCTCCTCCTCCACTTCCTCCTACACTCCCTTTCGCTCCTCACACTCCCGTTCCTCGCGCATCCTCCTCCTCCTCCTCCTCGTTTTTGCTCTTCTGCCTTGCTCCTCTTCGATCCTCCTCCTCCACCTCCTCCCTGCTTTTTGTCTTTCACTCGCACGGACTACATTGGGGGGGCAGCGGGACTTCTGGGGTTTGCAGCTTGCAGCTGCACGGCCCTCCTTGCTCCCCTTCGTCCTCGCTCACCTACCCACTACATAGGGTTCTGTCGGCTGAAACACAAGTCCCCGTCCCACCAAGCAGCGGTACGCCTTCATTCCTCCTCCTCCTCCTCCTCCTCCTCCTCATGTTCCTCCCCCTCCCCTGAACGCGGCTTGGTGGTTGTATCAAAAACTGATCCATCTTGGCCACGACGATCGAGGCCGGAGGATATGGGAACATTACTGCATGATTGTTATGTTAGCCCGCGCTTCAAACGGAATGTCAATGCTTACGGAAATGACAATGTGTGCGTGCGGCTGGTAAACGCAATGTACGATCGAAAGGGCACACCACATTCATGGGCCCGGCACCGGAGCCGTCCCGCTCAACAGCAGCGTCACGCTGAAATTTCCATGACCCCCGACTGCTGCTACGGAGTGTGCAGTGATCAACGAAATTCGGCGGCCCCCCTGGGGGCGCCGGGCTGCGAGGTTGTCAGCTGGGCTGCTGTGTTGTGTTATGTGTTGTGCAAAGGTGCCCGGTGCCCTCATCGTGTCTCCTCTCGCGAGGTACGCGTTTTGAGGTTATGGGTTTCTGGGGGGGCCTGGGCCCAGGCCGGCGTTGAGTCGACCTGTTTTACCTCTCGCGCAAACGCGAGGGGAACAGGGTCGTGACCAATTCTGCGCCAGCTGTGCACGAGCGTACGCGGGTACCGCACGCGCGGCGGCCTTGCCCCCCCCCCCCCGGTAACTTCCATGCAGACTAGGACTGCGCCGCCGCGCATTTACGCGGCGGCACTGTTGCGCGCGCGTGCCGTAGTGGGCCACGCAAAACGCACCAGAGCCGCCGCGCGCGCGGCGCCCTGCCGCTGCGCGCATGCTGTCCCCATACATTGGCGGCGAGCGAAGGGGGGAAACGAGAAGGAGAAGGCCCTTCTCAGAAGGCGGCGGGACTTCTCAGAACCCCTCGCGCCTTCAGAAGTTGTGTCTGTCTCCGCGGAAGGCTCAGGAAACTTCTCACAAGGCCGGGGAACTTCCGAGACTTCTGAGAAGGCCCGCCCCTTCTCACTTCCCCCCTTCGCTCGCCGCCGAATACAAGCCGCGGCAGGGCCCCGCCGCGCGCGCGGCGGCGGCCCCGCCGCGCGCGCAGCATGCCTGCCCACGCAGGAACCGCACCAGGGCCGCCGAGCGTGCGGCGGCCCTGCTCTTTTTGGGGGCACTGTCTGCTTCCATGCAGAGTGGGCCGGGGCCGCCGCGCGCGCGGCTGCTCTTTGCCCCTCGCGCACTGGTTCCTATGCCGGATGCGCCAGGGCCGCCGCCGCGCGCGGCGGTCCTGCCCCCTCGCGCACTCTTTGTTCCACATCGGATGGGCCAGGGCCGCTGCTCGCGCGGCGGCAACACTGTGCGCTCAGTGTGGCTCCTGCTCCGAGGGGGACGACGTTGCCGAACGCCTACGGGCTAAACGTGAAATCTACACCCTGAATCGCGTCCAGGAGGGCAGCTTTGGAGAGCATTGTAAAACAGATGCCCGTGTGCAACCTTGCGAAAGAAATGGGAGCCTCGCAAGAAGTCCCATAACAGAACAAGATTTGGCGGCAGAAAGACCCAGCGCTCAGGATGAGACGCCGGCAAGGCCTCCACCGTCGAATTCTCAAACCTCGAACCCTCGAACCCCACCAAAGCTCTGGGCGCAAAATGCTTAGGGCGTGTCTTCTTCCATCTTCCCCCTTCCCCTTCGGGGACAAGTTCATCACTGCTCTTCATTATTGCGCACCCCCTTCACCGCCTGAC